CTATTCCAGTCAAACTCAGCTGAGGAATATGATATCACAAATCTTCAGAGAACTTCTTAGTATCATCCACTCTTCAACAGAAGTGACCTCCATGTAAAATTCCACAGTGCATATCTTTTATATACATAGCCAAACAATGACAGCACATGACTAGAAAGACATGACACACGTGACACTATGAGGTAAGTTTTGCCCATGTGCAGTGAAACCTTCCTCCACAATGTGTCCCATCAGTCATGAGGACATTTTTCTGGACCAGGACACTCCAACACTCCTGCTGAAGCTATTGCAAGGATTCACTAAATCAGAAGTACTGTACAAAGGATAATACCATCTACAATCAATTAGGGCACTCATCTATAAGTTTTGCATTCTAGAAAATGTTCTAAGATTATTTTTCATATTTTTACACTAAGCACTAAACAAATATAATTCACATCCCATAAATAGTACTGATTCTCCTTGATATCCTAAAATCATTTACACTACTTAAGAGAAAGCTGCAGAAGTGCCACTTTCTGAGAATGCCATCAGTAGCCTATATCCTTTTAATACAGATTATGAACACCTATACATGGCCCTACCCATTTCCCAACGAGACATACACCTTTTGGTTCCCTAGTATGGTGCCCTGGTTTTGGCTGGGGTAGAACTAATTTTCTTCACAGTGCTGAGTATAGGGCTGTGTTTTGGACTTGAGCTGAACACAGGGTTGATAATACAGAGGTGTTTTTGTTATTGCTGAGCAGGGCTTATACAGAGCCAAGGCGTTTTCTGCTTTTCGTACAGTCACACCGGGGATGAAGTTGGGGGCACATGGGAGGTTGGGAGGAGACACAGCCAGGACCGGTGACCACAGCTGACCAAAGGGATATTCCAGACCATATGGTATCATGCTTCATATATAAAGCTGGGGGAAGGAGGAGGAAGGGAAGGTTTGGAGTGATGGTGTTTGTCTTTCCAAGTCACCGTTCCCTGCTCTTCTGGGGATGCCTGAACACCTGCCTGCCAGTGGGAAGCAGTGAATGAATTCCTTGTTTTGCTTTGCTTGTGTGTGCAGTTTTTGCTTTCCCTATTAAACTGCCTTTATCTCAACCCACGAGTTTCCCAGCTTTTATGCTTCCAGTTCTCTCTGATCGTACTGGTGGGGGAGTGAGTGAGAGGCTGTGTGGGCCTTGGTTCTGGCTGCCGACAGTCGCAAGCTCACGAATTATCCTGTGGTACCAAACAATGGTTCTCTGTGGAAGTTTTCTAGGTGAGAAAGGCTTATGTATTCTTCTCCCCCAAACCAGGAGAAGTAGCTTAGTCAACTGTATGACCCATTAATCATTTAATTAGCACGTTTCCTTTAATCGAATCATTAGTCAGGGTTTTTTCCTGTTTCTGAGGGATTTTTTTAAACCTCTGAGCAATTATGATGACATGTATGACTAGCATGGCTCAATTTTTCCAAAGAGAGTATATCTGACACGACATATCTTTTATAGTAACATACATCCTTTTTGATCTGCAATAATTTTGGGTGGTGTTTAGCTCAGTCATGAATTTTTCTACCCAATAAAACATGAAGAGCACACTTTTAAATTAAGAAGTGGATTCCATGTCACATCAAATAACAGTAAGATGCATATTAAGGAGTTTAGAACTTGTTTTGGTTTTTTTTCCCAAGAATAAAAGTTTGAAAGTTAGAGACCCTAGAAACACACAGCATGTTAGTAGTATTTGTTTGATGGTAGCACTGAGCAGTGAATTTAGCAGCTGGCAGCAGGAAGAAGAAAAAACAATGCCACATAATGACCCCGCTGAGCACAAATTTAAAATTTTAGTATGTGTCATTTAAGAAATCATACGTGAATTTACCAGAGAAGAAATAACTATCAAGCCTAAAGACCACATGACATATTTTCCATATAATTACTTATTGAACATTTTCCATAAAACCCTGGAGGCTTCAAAGCTACTGTGAGCTGAACAATAGCTTTTGGTTTTGAAGCTATGTTACAACATTCCCATTCAAAATGTTTTGGCTAGGAATTAATTTCCTACTGATTTATTATATTTTACATTTAGATTCTAAGATAAAAACACAATGGAGGAAATAACTTCTAGAAAAATACTGCTAAATCATTGCATTTTTAAATTTTAATTAGGAACAGTTATAGTTAAGTAAACATAGCAATTACATTTGTGCTTTTCAATTACAGAAGGCCATTCAAGTACCATTAAAAAATCTTGTAATTTTATTTCAGTGGGAATTTACTCGATGCCTTAGATTTGTACCTAAACTGTCAACTGCAGAGTCAGGTACAGCAAATTCAAAGCAACAGCCGTTTGACGTTCAAGAAAAGGTTGTACCTCATGTTCAATATATGATTTTCCTTCATGATGAATATAGTGATGTTTTATCAACCCTCACTGAAAAAAAGATAAAACATCCTCTCTAGATGACATGTACGGCCAGGGAATATTGTAGCACGAGGAGTATGGGAGCATTATGGAAGAAAGCAGTCAGCTCTCTTAAAGAAATCACTGTCACCATCTGCCCAGAAATGATAGCTCAATGACTTATTCGTTCCTTCTTTTCATGTTGATCTGTGCATTCTATAACTAACCAGTTAAATTTTAAAATGCCAGGATTTCTGTAAATCCTTCCATCTCATTTTTTGTTCTCTGCCTGGTTTTTAATAATATTAAAAAGTTGAATATACAGAAGTTATTTGTCATTATGATTCACAAGTGTCATGAAAAAAACAACAGCTGGGCAGAAGAGACAGTTCCTCTAAGTGCCTCAGACAAACCTGGAAGTGTGGGCTTATGTATCACCAGATGCCAGAGAATCCACACATGCAAGAAAGGTCTAGCTGTAGAAAATAGCTAGTTTCAGTTGGCTGGAAATTCATTCATTCAGCCCTATTATTCCTGCAATAATCTCATTTTCTTTGGGCATAAATTGTTCTTCCCAGTTTAACCTAATTTCAATGGAAAATGCTGTGCCAAATGTAGTAGTGGTATTACAGTTTCACAGTTCAAAGGCAGCACAGTGGCACAGTAAGTGGAGGTGGATAGCAATCCAAAGTATTTTAAAGGGTCAATCAGGATTTTTTAGTTAGTGATAAGATTCAAAGATAGGCAGATAGGTTTTATCTATATGGCACAGGGAACAAACAGGCAATGGGAAAAAGATACATCAGAGCACCTGCAATGGGCAGTATCAGAGAATAGTCAAAACGCACGGGTCCCCTCCCTACTCCATGTAAACCGATTCTATTCAGTGTTACAGTAATGGGACAATTATAGCACCTAATGTAGCATGCAAATTACCTGCTGAGGTTTTATTCAGATACACAGTTTCTTTTTATCAGTTTGCATATCTCGAAAGAGCCTATTCTCTTAGTGTCAGCATGATTTATACATGTGTACCTAGCTCCATTGCAAGGATAACCTACAAGGCAAAGTAAGACTGTTTTCCCCAACAATCTTCAACACTTAAGCCAGGCAGTCACTCCTTTTAAGATTATAGGCAATTGTATTGCTGCTACATATTTATGTATGTTAAGACAGCCTCAGGAACAAGCAGTTCCATATCCTTTCCTCTCCTCCCACCTCTTCTTTAATGACCTGACACAGCCAAAACACAATTATTCCCCAAGAGCTCTGCTGAAGAACAAGGAGCAGCTATAATAAATGATGAAGACAGTGAAATCAGAGGCAGATTCCTAGTTATACAACGGTGATAAAATACATCACTTTTAAGTTTATGATGTACCATTAAGCAATTGGAGAAAAAAAATACTTTTGGAAAATAAGCATGAAGGTTGTATTTGGAAGCAAGAGGGACAAGTCTACTTCCAGATAAAGTGTGAATGCTTTGGCTGATGCAAATAGCCAACTTTAAAAAATGGTGAAATATCTGCACCAAACCAAACAGAAGAAATAAAAATCTTCCTCCAAGTGCTGCTGAGATGACAATGGTCATTGGTCTACCTTACAGTAGTCATAATAGTTTCTATTAGCAAAAGACATTCCTATTGATTTCACAGGTTTGGATCAAGCCCCAGATCACCCAAAGGCCTTAATTTAGCTTTTGTAGACTTACTCTCCAAGAAACTAACATGACTCCAACTCAAACAAGAACCCTTTGAACACAGTGTGACTCCATGGATATTTACATACTTCTATAACAAAAGTTCACCTTCGTTATAATCTGTGACTCAGAGCTCTCTTCAGATTCAGGAAAGGTTACAGTAAATTCCCTGTAAAATCACTATTGTTCATGATATGCAAACGATTTGGCAATAGGTCTTTTCTGTTGTCAAATCACACTCATTTTAGCCTCCGTAGATTTGCAAACGTGAGCTGCCCACACTTTAGGTATAGACGTCAATTTGTAGATATGGCTTCTTCAAACATTTATTGAGTAATTTTGACTCAAAGTACTCAAATGACTGTATTGCCACGTTGGTCTGTGGGAAAGACGACAGGATGAGCACGTTTATTTTTACAATGTGAGTTGTCTATGATGTGATGAAGATGTTGAATAAAACCAATAATTATTACAGCAATTAAAATATAAAACTTGAGTCAGCATTTTGATGCAGTTCCAGACTCTCTCCCTAAACTGCTTTATAATTTTGGGCAAGTAACTTAGCCCGATTCTGCAAATACTTTTACTTACGCTAAGTGCCACAAAGAACTGTGTACAGGATAAGGTAGCTTTATTTGCTTAAATTACCAAAACTGGGGGCTTAAACTGTTTCCCTGACCGTACACACTGCTATGATCAACAGAATTATTCTGTTGTACCCTAGTGAGGTGTTGCAATACAGCGAGTTTAAGAGAGCACTGTTCTAGGAGTATTAAGCACTTCCCAAGAAATACAACCAGTGTCCAATGGGAGAACAAGAAAGGCAGAAAGACTGGGATTCCTACTTAGAGTAATTTCTCCCAAGTGCTTTGCCTGTTGATCTCTTAGCCTCAGTCTCTAAGCTGTAAATACTCACTGAAATAAATTCCTTTTCCTACTGGCTCCTGAACTTCTATTACGGCAGAAGTGAGATGCCTCAGCAGGGAGACACACCTGAGGAGGGATGAGAAATAAAAAGAGAATGAGCAGAGCTCCGGACCAGTGAGTTTCCCCGCCTGCCGAGGGCCGGGCCCTGTGATACGGCCCCTTGCCAGACGCCAGCAGGATCGACTCTGCCTATTGTGCATTCCCAGTGGGAGCCGCGCTCCGTGCTTCCCGCCGGAGGCTTCCGAGCAGGCGTGCGGAGGAGGCAGAGCCGCCTCAGAGGCTTCAGGCGTCGAGGAGCCGACACGCTGGAGGCGGATTTCCCCCTGGAAGCTGCGCTGACGGCAGCCCCAGCACGGCCGCGACCGCCGGGGCGCTCCCGCCGAAGGGGCTGCCCAGGGTTCCCGCGGGCGCGGCGGGGACACACGGCGCTCCTCAGCCGCTACTGCGGGCGGGATGAGCCAACTCCGGCCGAAACAGCCCCCTCCCCCGCGCTGCAGCCCTGCTGAGGCGCCAGCCATGTTCCCACATCGCCCCCACCTGAGGCGCCAGGGAGCAGGGAAGGGGGAGAGAAGGAGGGAGGGAAGGCGGCGCTGCCACCCCCGCCTCGCTGAGGCGCCGCCGCCGCCCCCTCCCACCTGCCCGCGCCCTCCGATCGCCACCGCCCCGCCCCGCCGCGCTCGAGGCCGCAGCTCGGTCGCTCATTGGCCGCCGGGCCCGTCAATCACCGCCGCTCGCGCAGGGCCGGCGGAGGGCGGGGCCGCGCGGCGCTGTCAGCGGCGCGCGGGGAGGGAGCGGCGCCGGGGCACAGGCGGGGGGTGGTGGCGGCGTGAGGAGCTGCCGGGCTGTTCCTCCGCTCCAAGCTCTGCTCGGCTTTTTCTTTTTTTTTTTTTTTTTTTTTTTTTTCCCCTCCCCGAGCATTTTTACACAGCCGCTCGCTCACCGCAGTTCTTCTGCGGAGGTACACTTATCGGTAGCTGCACACCTAGCACGGGCTGCTCGGTCTCTTTCCCCGCAGAGCCCGAGCGCCCGGTCCAGCGGAGCGCGGCCAGACCCCCGCGGCCAGGGGCTCCCTCAGCCACCGCGCTCTGCCTCGCCCGCCCCTGCAGCGCCATGGATCACCAGCCCAAGTTCTTCGAGAACCTCTCGGGCACCGGGAAGGCCATCGGGGTGCTGACCAGCGGCGGCGATGCCCAAGGTAGCGGCTCACACCGTTCGCTCCGGGAGCAGGGGGAGGATGAGGGGAAGGAGAACGCGGGGGAGCTGCGGGCATGGTGGGGAGTGGGGCAGTGGAAGGAGAGGATGAGGAGCCCCTCGGGGGCGGTGTGAGGGGGACAGGAAGGAAGGAAGGGCCTCCCCGGCTGGCAGGACGCCCATGCGGGAGGCCGGGGGTGCCGTCGCAGCGTGGGCTGCCCCGGGGCTGGCGGCGGGAACCCACAGTGCAGCACATGGAGTGGAGAGAGGGCTCCGGGAGTGCGCCACGCGGGATTGCCGTGCTTCTCGGCTTCCTCTTACCCTGCTGGCCTTCGAGCCGGCTCTCCTACTAAGAGCATTTAAAAGATAAATAATAATTCTGCGGCCTGGGTGCCTGAGCTGCAAACATCCCCTCAACCATTCCTCCTCCCTCGCTGTCTCGTCACGTTTCCCCTCAGCCAGCTTAGGCAGGGGAGAGGGTAGAAACACTGCAGTAACTTTTACCACCAAGATGTCTCGTCCCCTCGGGAGGTGGTGGGGAGAGGAGAGTGAGGAGGGATGGCTGATGCGAGCGGGGGAGGAGGAGGTCGTGCCGCTCTGCACGGCGGGTGGGAGGGAGGCTGCGCTGCTGGGGCTCTGCCAGCCCTCGCCTCATCTGCTTTTCGCTTCCTTCTGGCACCGGGAACACGTCTATGTGCCTACCCGTGGTTTAGAACGCTCAGATGGCAGTTTACTCTGCCTCTCTTAGGAGTATGTAAGGAGTCTCACCTCCTTAAATCTCTTCAGCGTAGTCGTAGCTACTACAGGACAGGGCGAACAAAAGACCTACAGACATTGAGAGGGAAGGGGACGAAAACAGGCTTCAAAATTTTAGGTTTTTCTACACTTTCGTTTCCCCTTTTCTACCAGAAAACCTCCTTAATAGTTCGAAGTTTCAGTTAATTAAAGTTTCAAACGGGAAATGCGCCGTGCGATTCCAGAGGACTCTTGCTCTGCGTGTGCCAGGAGAATTGTTCAGTGATGATTGTTTTTAGCTCCTTCCCTAAAATTATGGTTATTTTACTTTTTTTTTCCCCCGGGAGTATCTCGAAACTACTTTCTCTTAAGAGAAAAAGCGGCACTCATCCGCATTTGTGAAGAGAATGCTGGGTGGGGGTCTCCTTTCTGCTTGGGCTCGGTGGTTTAGTGACCAGTCTCTCGCCAGCTTTTACACGAGGTGTCGGGACCAGCCCGCAGCCCCGGCCAGGGAATCCTGCTCGGCTGCCCCGGCGGCAGCAGCAGCCTCTCCTCTCGTCTCCTCTCCTTTTCCCCTCGCTCCACGGTGCGTCCATGTGGCGGTAGCTCGCATGGACCAGTGTCTCCGCGCTCCCTCCCACCGCCGGTGTGTACGTGATCCGCTGCGAGTCGCTGCAGATTCCGCCTCTTTGCGTCATCTGGGTTGGGAGAAGCATCCTCCCTCCCCCTGCCCGCAGAATAACGGGGAGCCCCCGGGTTTACCTGGGATTATCCGAAACTCTAATCGGGATGAAAGGGATTTGGTGCCATCGGAGAGGAGAACGTTGCAGTTCTGGAGGAAAAGCAAATTGATGCGTTTAAAAGGCTTCTTTTTTGCCCCTGGGTGGGGTTACACTTGTTCAAGTTTTATGTACGGTCTGCTCTCAGTGACATCAATTCCGCTGCTAAATGGTTCTAGGAGGGACTGGGAATCGGGGCATCTCTGTCTTAATGATCTGGTCACCAAATCGCCATTTTAATTTAAAAGTGTGGCAGGGCACTGCCTCAAGCAGCAGTAGCATGTTCAGCAAGAGGCTGAGCCCTTCAACTTGCTTCCGCGTGGCTGGAGATTATATAATGCAGCAGCAGATGCATCTCCTTTTATAAAGTATTAATCTGCACTTGCCACTATGTGAATTAAGGCATTTAAAGGACTCGCACAATCCACATCTAGACTTTATTATCTGACAGATTGCCACTGAAGCATATTTACAGGGAGAGTTCCAAAGTAACAGGCTGGGAAAGTTGCTGTCTGAGGAGTGGGGTTGTCACAAAGACCAAACAAAGTACACTGGGTGCCTTCCAAGCTGGTTTGTCGGCAGCATTGTTGTCCTAACTTAGAAGAACAAGGAAATAAAAATCCTAACATTTTAGAACTTGATAATTTCTGCTGAATCACACAGCACAGTTGAGGTCCATAACCCTATGTAACCTACCTATCTTGGTAACAGCATAGATGTCTAAAATATGCAACCTCAAGTCAGTTTGCAGACTAGATTAGGAGTTAAACAAGGGACAGAATGAGTCATGCCCTGTCAAGGTCATTTGTCCTCTGTAGGACAGAGTGTAAACCTGTGAGAGAGGTGAAGTCCTGAAGTATAACACAGAAGGAAATATGCTGCTGTTACTGATGTTTGAAAATAGTATGTTCAAGCAAAATGTAGGTGAAGCAAAGCTACTAACTCTGAAGTAGGCAAAAAAGTTTTAATATTGAAAACAAGTTCCAGTCTCCTGTTTTGTTTTGGATTTGTTAGACACTAGAAATCAGAGTATCTATAATCCAAACTAAACTCACAAACGGTTGAGTGGAAAAAACACCCATTATTGTTGCAGTAAACACATAATCTTCATATCAATAGGTACCATGATTTAGATTGGGCTGTAAATCTTAGTGCAGATTAAAGTATACATGAAATTATTTTAAAATAGAAGTTACTGCCTTTGCTGTTATTGTACTTCTTAATAATTTAGAAGTAGCATTATGTAAATTACACAAGCCATTCTATTTGTAGGGCTTGTTAAGTTTTCAATTACTTCCCCCCATTTGTGCTATTTTCTTGAAAGTTTTTTTTTTTTCTTTTTCTACCTGTAGAATGTTAAAGACTATAGAATGTATATGTTTTATACCGGGACTCTTATGGTTTAGTCATTATTCTTTTGTTTGGTGGAGTTAATTTATCGGTGAAAAAAGATTGGTATTTTGTACACCTAATGTGTATAAGTAGTAAACTTGATAGTCCATCACTTTAGCTTGCCAGCTGTTAAATTGTGAACTAAAATACTTCCCACCATAATCATGAGTGCCTCGAGAGGCAAAAGAAGTTTTGACAATTGATTCTCTATAAATATTGGGTTGGTTTTCTGGACTATTTCTAAATTATAGTGGTTGCAGCTCAGAAAAGTGGTTTAGTAGATGGGTTTTAAGTCACGCTTTTGTTTTCCCTTTGTGGGATTTTCTGGCCATGGTCTGCTTCAGGTCATGAAGTACACTGCTTGTACTTCATGTGGGTTACCAGTGGCTGCCACAGACAATTTTGGCCACCGTAGGTCACTTATGTTCCACAACCTCCAAACAGGTGCTTGTTCTGGGACTGTGGTAGGTACGGCTTCACAACAGGAAGAGTCATCCGGGAGCTGCTGGATGAAGGTGATTGTGCACTGCTGGGGAAGGATGTGTGTGTGGCTGCTGAGCTGCTGCCCAGTTTACTGGCTCTGGATTATTGTCTTTGAATATGACCATGTTATTTTTGAGATAAGCTCAAAAGATTCAGTGTTGTGGAAGACAGCATAAGTGAGGGACATAATGGTCGGGAATATCATAGCCCATCCTGCTGAAGTAACGTTTGAGGCATTACAGGGTTCCCAACATTTCAAGGCATATTTAGTATAGTGGTGTAGGTGTATGGCTCTTGTCCTGGTAACTTAGATTGGAAGAAGAAATCTTGCCACTGAAAAAATAAAAAAGCTCAACTCACTCAGCAAATACTGGGTTTAGAAAAGCTTAAAAAGAACCCTATAGCCTCTTGGATTCTGGACTTTTTGAGTACCATAGACCATGACTGTGGAAGCAAAGACCTACATATTTCTGCTCTTGAAGCATTACAGGCTTCCGAGGAACATGATGAGACATATTTAACGTGGTAGCACAGATGTACTGATCTTATCCCGGTGGCAAAATGTCTTTTTTCATCATAGGCCACTGAACTAGTACAATAAAATAAATAAGTTTTGGGGTTTTTTTAAGGCAGAAACAAACAAACCCAAACAAACAACTCACACTCCGCTTATGTTGTCCAAATAACAGAGTTTTATTTATTAACACTTAGGTGATTTGAACATATTCACAAGGAATTTTTGAATTCTGGCCCCCCCAAAGGCACCCAGCTAAGAATAGTGAATACATATAGACATATATATGAAATCCATTTGTATGTGTCCATAGATACAATATTATAAATAGTATTTGGGTGTAAAATTAGAAATGTAGTTATTAATGAATGAGTGTAACTATTTCAATGTATTTTATATTTCTGAGGAACTGCTACTATAATTAGTGGATTCTGTGATTGAAACTGGTCTCTTAAGATTTTTATT